CTTCCAGGCCAATGGAGGCTTGCTCATGTGCACCTGCGGCAGCGGTGGCATCAAAAGCAGTACCCATGTCAGCTCAATTAAACGAGGGCCCAAAGGGGAGGTAAGAAATAGGTGGTGGGTCAACACTAGATCAAGAACTACATGAGACTGGTTGCTTCTGGGTGAGGGAGAGTATGACTTACATATGACCACTGGATGGGCTGACTAGATGCCAATGGATGCATTTACACAGGACATTTGGGTACAAACGCCTGAATGAATAGGATTCAGCATATATGGCAGAGTGCATATGGTTCATTAGGGGAGGGGGAGGCATGGATGGCGGAGGGGATGTAGATGTGAATGGGAAATATCGTATGAAATTTTTAAAGCTCAATTAAAGAAAAAAAAGGTTAAGTGGCCCACTGGAAAGAGTAGAGGTGAAAAAAAAAAAAGAAAAAAGAAAGAAAAAGTAGAGGCCAAGAAGAGCTCTGGAAGTCTAGAAGGGAGCCTCAAATTTATTTAAAACCATTGGAGGAAAATATACTAATGGGTGTTAAAATTGCTGGTCATATTACAACAATGAATCAGCTTCATGGTTTTGTGTGTTTACAGTTAATGAGAACTTAATGATCAGGAGAATGATGTTTTACTACTACTAACAGGGTCAGAGACCCTCTTGTACTTCCCACATTAGAAATAATGTAGAGAAAGAACAAAACCCAAACCCAACAGAAGAGAAGAAATAACAAAAATCAAAGCAGAAATTTAAAATAGAAACAAAAAAAACAATACAAAGAATCAATGAATCTAAGAGCTGGTTCTTTAAAAAGCTAAATAAAATAAACAGACCCTTAGCCCAGTTAATCTAAATAAAGAAAGAACACCTCCAACTCAACAAAATTAGAGATGAAAGGGGAAACACCACAACAGACACCCAAAGGATCCAGAATATTATAAGGAAATACTTTAAAAACCTATACTCTACTAAATCTGAAAGTCTAAAAGAAATGGATGGATATCTAAAACCATGGGAACCACCAAAGTTAAACCAAGAAGAGATCAACAGTTTAAACAGACCCATAACATATAAGAAAATTGAAACAGTAACACAAAGGCCACTGGACTAAAAAAAGCCCAGGCCCAGATGGATTTACAGCAGAATTCTGCCAGACATTTAAAGAAGACCTCCAACCAATACTACTTAAATTATTCAAAATGATAGAAACAGAGGGAGAACTCCCAAATACATTCTATGAAGCCAGCATCACTCTAATACCCAAACCAGGGAAAGGCACAACAACAACAAAAAAACAAAAAACAAAAAAAAAACAAACTATAAACCCATATCTTTAATGAACATAGATGCAAAAATTCTCAACAAAATACTTGCAAACTGCATACTGATGTACATCAAAAGATCATTCACCATGATCAAGTACACTTATCCCAGAAATGTAGGGATGGTTCAATATACGCAAGTCAATAAACATCATCAATCATATAAATGGACTCAAAGACAAAAACCACATTGTCATCTCAATAGGTGCAGAAAAGGCTTTTGACAAAATTCAGCAAGGATTCATGATAAAAGTCCTAAAGGAAATTGGATTGGAGAGAACATACCTCAACATAATTAAAGCTATATACAACAAACCCACAGCCAGCATCATTCTAAATGGAGAAAAAACTGGAAGCATTCCCATTAAAATCAGGAATCAGACAAGGATGTCCACTATCTCCACTCCTTTTCAATATAGTGCTTGAAACTTAATAGAGAAATAAGAGAAAGAAATTACAGGAGTAATGATTGGAAAAGAGGTCAAATTATCCCTTTTTGCAAACAATATGATACTATACATGAGATCCCAAAAGTTCCATCAGAAAACTCCTAGGACTGATCAACATTTTCAATAAAGTGATAGGTTACAAAATTAATCTACAAAAATCAGTAGTCTTTCTATATACCAACAACAAGCAACTGGAGAAAGAGTACAGGGAAATGGTCCCATTCACAATAGCTACAAAAAAATTATCTTGGAATAAACCTGACCAAAGACAACAAAGATCTCTACAACAAAAAATTTAAATCATTAAAGAAAGACTGAGGAAGACATCAGAAGATGGAAAGACCGCCCATGCTCATGGATTGGAAGAATTAATATTGTGAAAATACCCATGCTACCAAAAGCAATATATACATTCATTGTGATCCCAATCAAAATCTCCACAGCATACTTCACAGAATTAGAAAAGAAAAACTCCTTAAATTCATATGGAAGCACAAAAGACCCTGGAGAGCCAAAGCAACCCTGGGCACAAAGAGCAACGTCAGGGGGATTACTATTCCAGATCTTAAGTATACTACAGAGCTACAGTCATAAAAACAGCATGGTCCTGGCACAAAAATAGACACATAGATCAATGGAACATCACTGAAGACCCAAACCTGAGTACATGCAATTTCAGCCATCTGGTATTTGACAAAGGTGCCAAGAGCACACAATGAAAGAAAGACAGCATTTTCAACAAATGGTGCTGGCAAAACTGGATCTCCACCTGTAGAAGAATGAAACTAGAGCCTTATCTACAGGAATGGAAGAAAGCCTTTCCAGAAACAATACAGTGGTTAAATGAAAATCCCAGTGCCAGAGGTGGGTTGTCCCCATGATAAAGGCCATTGCCAATAATGTTGGTTGTACACCAGAAGCGGGCAGAAAAACCCTATTGCTGAAGACACTGCATGACGTGAGTGCAGGAGAGGGAGAAATCAAGCTTGGACTAAGCTGGAAACTCCCTGCCACTGGATGGGTGGCTTTCATGGTGCCAAAAGGCAATATGCAGATGACTAGGAGAGACTCTTCCCTTATAGTTCTGCTTGATGATGGACCTTGTGTTTTGCACTGTAAGCATACCAAAGTGTTCCTGGTGGTGCAATAGTAAAGTATCTAGTGTATGTACAACTAGCATATTTTCAATTGGATATAATGCACACTCCTAGAGGTGGAACACACATCTGGTACTGTAGACCAGGCCAACCCCTTGTGGCAGGGGAGACATAGGCCCCAGTGGGAAGTCATTGCAATTGCTTTGTTAGATGGAAATGATGCACCTGCTAAAGTACCATCCAAGCATGTGTATTTATACCCATAGGTTAAGTTATTATAGCAGCTACTGTTTAAATGTTCTTGCTTTTTGCTATTTGGGATTTTATAGTAGATGGAATCCCACTGAAATGGACCAATAGCCCATGGAAAACAGACAATGCAGAGACCCAAAAGTCCAGTGCTTTGCTACAACAGGAGGAAGATCATCCCACACCTACCACCCCCTCCAATGCTCAGGGACTTTTGTGGAAGAGTTTGGCAGGAAGGTTGCAAGAGCTGGAGGAAGGGGTGGAATGTTAACCAGAAGTGTCCTCCGACCACTATATCAGCAAGCTATGGTCACACCTCCTTCCTGCCCTCATCAAGGAAGTCAAGGGGGGAGTCAGTAACCCCTCCCACCCAATCAATCAACCCTAGCAGCATGTAGGGGAGGGACTAAGGATATATAAGCTGAGCATGCCTTGAAGCACCTTTCCCACCATTTTGTGCAGCTGATGGGAAGTCACAGGCTCTATATTTGAGTGTGGACTTTCTAGTGCAGCCATAAATGGGGGAGGGTGCCCACTCTTCTGTAAATAACCCCCCACCCTATGCTCTGTTAGCAAGCCCAATAAACTAGTTAGGATTAAAAAACAAAACAAAAAAACAGAACTAATGGAAACCTTCATTACTGCACCAAAGTTGACTCCATGCTGGCAAATCCTTTGGTCTTTTTTTTTTTGGTGTTTTTGAGACAGGGTCTCCCTGTGACCCCAGCTGGCCTGGAACTCGCTGAGTGGACCAGGATGGCCTTGAACTCACAGAGATCTGCCAGTCTGCCAGGCTCTGCTTCCCAGGTGCTGGGACTGAGGACATGTGTCACCACATTTGGCTTTAGTCTTCAATTTCTTACCCCTACTTTTCCACCCTTAAACTTCATTTTATATATATATATTTTTATGTAACCTGATTCAAGCTATTTCTGGAAAAATGTGTTAAAAATTCCCTATCTTTGGAATAATAAAAATATTCTTTAAAAAATGTGAGAATGATTGCTGTAAGACACAGCACGCATTGGGGGAAGAGCGGGGGAGGCTGCTCAAGGGTCAGTCTGATACAACGAAATACACTGGATAGGTTTATTGAAATTTAGCTATAAAATTCCACTTATAAACACAGCTGTACTGCGCAAGTCATCCATGTAAAAAATTTAAAGAACAGACCTCAGGAGGAGAAATACAGTAGAGCACCAAATTGATGTTCTCAACAAGTACCTCATAGAATGGGAGAGCAAAGAGTACAATCAAATCGATCCAACATGATGCGATTTAGGATGAAAAATCAACTGTTGAAGAATTCTACACTCTCATTATAGCCCAGGGAGGCCAAATGATTCATCTAAAACTGACGGGATTTTAGACATGGCTCAGATACAGGGGCCTCTCTCTTTGTGAGTAGATAGCAGAATATTTAATTCCTGTTTGATCTGAAATTTAGCACTATAACTTAAAAAGAGCATATTTATGACCCCCTTAAAATACATGCATATGTTATATATATATATATATATACACACATGTACATGTACAGATATGCATATATGTGTATGTTGAGTCTTTTGGGGGAATTACTGCTTTTTAAATATAAAAATGAATTTGTAAGATAATAATCAGGATAAGATCACCTAATACCTATCTTTAATAAATAAAAATTTACAAACATGGTAACTGAGCAGAACCAGAGATTCTGGAGAGTACACTTTGTTGCAGGTTAACTGAACATAGGATTATGTATCCTTGACACTGACATGGTAGGGGAGGCCATCCAATGCATGTGCCTTTGGGCACTCCTAGTCTCTGTCTATGCCAGCAGCATCCCTAGTCATGATATTGAAACTGTCTCTTGACCTTGCCAAATGAACCCAGAGGGCAATACTGAAGAATACCAGCTTTAACATGACTACAGGAAAATAAACACATCTGCCAGCGGTATGATTCCACTGTAGAAACAACAGTGCTTCAACAGACACATTTTGGTTTTCATTCACATATATCAGGGCTAGTACTAGGTTAATTACACTAGTGCTTGTCTGATACTGAGCTGCCCAATATTGACAATGGCCATGTACCACCTGTGACCAATAAGCACTTGGAATATGGCTACTCCATAGTGAGAAATGCACAAAGTATAAAATATGCATTGTACTCTGAACACTTTGTATGAAAAAAGTAAATTTCTCAGTATTTTTATATTAAGCTGTGTGGTTATACTTACTGGGTAAAATACATTTTTTAGAATCAATTTCATCTGCCCAGGTTATGTTTTTTGAGTGTAGCTACTAGAAAACTTTATGTATGTGATTTCTATTACATTTCTATCAGATGGCCCTTGTCTAGAAACCTGACATGACTTAGTACTATTCCGTACTGAAATAAATCTGGAGTCTTTCAGGCCAAAAAGAAAGGGTATCCCTGTAAGATCAGCTTATAACTCTTTCTCATGTTGAAATGACTTTTCTGTTTCCTTCAGTACATTATTTCTATTCCAGTGCTTTATTCTCAGTGTTTCAATGGGCTGTCTTCTGGTTGTTGATTTATCTTCCTGTTGTTGCTCATTACTCTGCACTTCTGTTTCTTTCGGACACTCAGGAACTTTGCTAGAGGGATGTTGAGGCACGGCAGCATCTATCATACTTAGAAAATCATAGGCTGGAAGAGGAGGTCTCCATTCTTGAGCAGATAAAATTGCTGGAATGAGAAGACAACCAAGGTTAATGACCAAGCAATAAAATCATCATGTGAGTGTACTAGAAAATGGCATGTTTTCAACGTATATACTGTAGGCGGGCCTGCTTAGTCTTCACATGTGTGTGCGTATGTGTGTAGTGCACGGGGAGGGTGTATGCACACCTGTCAGTGTGCACGCAGAGGCCAGAGGAGGATGTCCATTCCCATCCTCTATCACTCTCCACCTTACTTTTTGAGACAGGGTCTCACTGAATGTGAAGCTCACCATGTCAGCTAAACTGTCTGGCCATCAAGGTCCCAGGATCTGACTGTCTCCACCTTAACACAGGTTATAGACACATGCAGCCAATGCTGAGCTTTTATGTGGTGCTGGGGATTCGTACTCAAATTCTCTTGATTTCAGAGCAAGCACTCAGACACTGAGCCATCTCCCCAGCCTTTGTTTTCATTTTTTTAGCATTACAGTTACACTCCATTTAGTTTTCTACAAGGATAAGCATTAATAAGAACAAAAAGATTCATTATCTTACTGTCAGCTGGCCCTTGAAGGGTTTAAGAAAACAATAATAATATGTGTAATACAGGGCTGGAGAGATGGTTCAGTGGTTAAGAGCACTGGCTGGTCTTGCAGAGGACTGAGGCTCGAGACCCAGCACCCACATGACAGTTAACAGCCCTCTGTAACTTCAGTTCCAGGGGATCCAATGCCCTCTTCTGACCTTGTCAGGTACTGCATGACATGGGTGCACCCACCTACACACAGGCAATACACTAATACACATAAAATAAAAATAATAAAATATTTTTTTTTAATTTTAAAACATTACAGATAGGCCAGTGCAAGAGTTAAAATGTAAAATCTCCTGCTTCCCTCCCTACTCCAGTCTTTTTTAAAAAAAAAATCAGTGTTTCCTTGTAAAACAAGTAAATCCAGCATTCATCACCCCACTTCAGCAATTACACAAAATAGAAATACATGCATCTATGGGTACATCCCACATAAGAGTCGGGTGAGACTGTAAAACCCACCATCAATCATTAAATCAAATGTGAAAAATACAGTGTCAACTCAAAGGGAGTAATGAGCTTCATAAAATATCACCAGGCTAAAATACTCCAAGACCACTGAAAACAAAGGTAAGCTATAAAAGTCTGAATTAACTCAGTGTACAAGAATGGGACTCAACATATGGAAGTTAAGAATTTATGTAGTGAGTACTTGTCTTATTCTGTTGCCTGTTATAACAGAATATCTGAGTCTGGGTTATTTAAAAAGAAAAGTTTTTTTTAGACTCGTGGTTCTGGCGGCTAGGAGGTTCCAGGTCAGAGGGTTGCATCTGGAAAGAGCCTTGCGCTGCTTCAACAGTGGAGGCAGAACAGAAGTGAGTGGGTGTGGAAGAGAAACGAAGGTCAGAGTCCCAGAAGAGCTACTCTACTTCCTCATGAAAGGTATTACTTTATTCACAGAGCCCTATTTCATAACCCCTCTTACTACAGATCCACCTTCTAATACAGCCCAAATGATGACCAAATTTCAATCTGTTTTAAAGAGGACAATCCATAGTCACAAAGGTATTTACTACAGATGAAACTATATATTAATTTTTAAAATTGTTTTAGAATTTCATACATGAGTACTGTATTTAGATCATTTCCACCCCTTCTCTCCCCCTTCTAACTCCTCCCACATTCCTCCTACTCCCTTTCAATATCCTGACCTCTTAATTATTATTACATGTATATACATATGTACATATTTATAACCTGACCTCTTTATTATTATTGCATATATATCTAATTATGCCCATTTAGAGAACTGTTCTACCTTCTTTATTAAAATATTTTATTTTTATTTTATGTGTATGCATGTATGGCCTGCATGCAGGTAAGTGTACCTGTGTCGTACAATGCCTGCAGAGGACCAAAGAGGCTGTCAGATCCCCTGGAAGTGGAGCTACGACACTTGTTAGCAGCCATGTGGGTACTGGGATTCAAACCCACGTCTTCTGCAGGAACAGCCAGTGTTCTTAACCGCTGAGCCATCTCTCCAGCCCTGTTCTACCTTCTTACAGTTGTAAATTAAATCTTTAAAATTATAAACTTTTCCTATGAGAGTCTTGCTCTCCTAAAAAGTATTTTGTTTTTAAAGTATTTTTTGAATATGTCTTTTTATGTGTGTCTGTGTTTATGTATGTGTGTGTACATGTGTGGGAGTGCACATGGAGGCCAGAAGTGGACCATGGGTATCTTCTTCAGTCTCTCTTCACCTTATTTTTTGATCAGGGTCTCTCAATTGAACCTGGAGCTCACTGATTCTGCCAGTTTCTGCCTCCCCAACAATGGGATTACAGGTGATGTAGCCACACCTGGCTTTTTTATTTGCAGCTGGCTTTTTTATTTGAATGCTAAAGGTCAATCTCAGGTCTTCATGCTTTCAGAGCAAGCACTACCAACTGAGCCATCTCCCTGGCTCCAAAAGTAACTATTTCTATGAATCATTCCAGAAAAAGTATTTTGGAATATATTTGTAATTCATACTAGTAGTGGCTTACAGATTAAGCATTTTGTTTTCAAATCTTTAATTGATATCCTTTTCAAACACTTCGTGAAACTAGGTTCATTTTTTTTAATATTTTATTTATTATTTTTATTTTTTATTTTTTTAATGTTGCTGAATTATTATTATTATTATTATTATGAGACAGGGTCTCCCTATAGCCCCAGCTGTCCTGGAACTCACTATGTAGACCAGGCTGGCCTTGAACTCACAGATATCCGCCTGCCTCCACCTCCCGAGTGCTGGGATTAAAGGCGTGCGCCACCACACCCGGCCATTTTTATTTTTTATGTGTACGAGTGTATTGCCTGCGTGTATGTGAGTGCACCCGTGTCATGCAGTGCCGCGGAGGTCAGAAGAGGGTGTTGGATTCCCCTGGAACTGGTGTTAAGGACGGTTGGTAGCCGCCATATGGGTACCGGGAATCAAACCTGGGTCCTCTGCAAGAGCAGTCAGTGCTCTTAACCACTGAGCCGTCTCTCCAGCCCGAAACTAGGTTCATTTTTAAAGTAATTATAGATAAGGAATAATTTTAAAGTGGCATGGAGTCAACTGAACTATAAACAGACAGCGGCTGGCCACATATTTTTAGAACACTCAAGAGTTTTATAAAATAATGTGCTATTTATAAAATGTTCTAACTTTCCTTATAGAAAGCCAACAAACTATCATGCATATGAAAAAGCTGTTTTGAAAACAGTCCTGTAACACCTATAACTTAAAAACGGCACAAAAGATTTCACTTTGGTAAGGTCAATGCTCCCACTGTGGCATTTTTTTTAACTACGTGGAAGAATCGAATCTTTGAAGATATTGGCTACACAAGCAACACAGACTCAAAGGAGAGAATTCAAAAGAAAGAGGCCTCAGTAGTGAGTCAGCTGTGTCCATTGGGGTTTCACATCTCCAGCCTAGACTGTTCCACAGAAAATGCTCTCAGTAATACTGAAGACAACAAACAGCAGAACTCAACTCATTCTCATATTTATTAGCTATAATTGGAGTTTAAAATCTGTGCAACAAAACACAGAATTATACGTATTAAAGAAAACAGAAAACTTACTGATAGGATTTTGTAGTCCTACTTCTAACTTCTTAAGCCACGATAAAAGGTTGTGTTCAGTTACAGACTGATTTGAAGGGAATGCGTATACTTGGCCACCTGAATGCAGATTCACCAAAAGCAGCTGAGGAAGTGGGGGCAGAGGGCCAAAGTAAGTCTTCAGGATTTCCCTCCCCACTGGAGTACTATTTCTGCAAAAGGGAGCAACTGAACATTAATTATTCCTTCCATAACAAAAAATGCAAATACTTTATAGAACATTAAACTTAATTATTACCATGCCAGTAAGTTTATGAAAAGACTTCCTCCAAAAGGTCCAGAACTATGATATTAGTAATCAGATTCTTTAAATAAAAGTTTTCTATAATATGGAGAATTCTCTGATATGAGAAAAAAGGCTGCCAGTGACTTTCCATGAAAAGAAAGCAGAGCCCCATGGCCTTTTCAGCACAGGCTTGGCGCAATCAATAGCTTCCTCTTAAAGTTTAGCTACTAAGTATCTCATCACCTGTCAGCTCAATAAATAACTTGTTGCATAACTGTAACAAGATGCTTTCTTTCTATGAATTTTTCCTTAAGACTGTTAACTTCCTGGAGGGGGGAGATTAATTTCAAATTAAAGAGATGAAAAAATAATTGTGTTCCTACAAGAAAACCACGTTAAAGATGCCTAACTATCCTAACGCAGCATGTTTCACCTTACGTAAAACACTACTTTTGATACCTATAATGATAATTATCAGAAGAATTTTGCCTCCAAGAGTAAGATGTACTATTAATAAAACTCCATAGCAAAAATGAACATTGTCATGTGTTTGTTATTTTTCAAATAACTTAAAAAGGAAAGCATGTCTTTCACCTAAGTCTGAACAACAGACAGTGTATATCCCTTGTTCACACCAATCATTCATCTAGAAAACTTGCCAAGAAATACCACTGAGGGTATGTACTGAAACCTTTCTCTAACATTATCAGCAGGACTTTTAACAACACAGAGGAAGGTGCCATAAGAAGTGGTGAAGCCTGAAAAAGCCAAAATATCACAATGTTTATTTTTTTATTTGTCTGTGTTTTCAATGGACGTAAGTTACTTTTAAAATCAGAAAAATATTTTAAAATTATTGTAGAATAACATGTACTCTAAAACAAACTCATCTTGGACCTTACCTGAGAGACATTAGTTACTAAAACATCATGATGCCATATTTAGGTTCACATTAACTCCAAAGGTAGGGAGGGTTTCAGAATTTCATTTCCTAATGAAAATGTAATAATTATACTTTCTTTACTTGATGTAGCCCAGGTTGGCCTTGAGAACTCACTATCTTCTTGCATCAGCCTCCCCAGTGCTAAAACTACAGGATGTACCACCACATCTGTGCCCCCCTTCACCTCAAATAATATTTACTTATACTTACAAATTTAACCAGCAAGGCATAACTGACTCCAACTGTTTCCATTTCACTAGTGTCAGAACTGTGTGCCTATACTGTGGATTTATGTTGCCATCACTGAACCAGAGAAGTAATGGTTTCTGAAGTTTTAAATAGGCAGGAAGATTTTCCACAGTGATTTCTGGCTGTTAAAAAGAAGCACCAAAAAAAAAAAAAAAAAAAAAAAAAAAAACTAAAAAAAAGAAAAAAAGGCATGATGCAGCATAAAATAACATTCAAATCATTCATGCAACTGTAGTTTTTAAAATGTAATTCAAGCACATGCACATTTACAGATTCTACCACAGCGCGTAAGCTAACAACTATGAAATCTTAAGTTTCTTATTCAATCCTACTTCACAATAATGACTTGTATTAAAAATAAAATTACTAATAGACTTTGAGAACACATTTAACACTTGTAATAATTCATGTTAAAATCTGGACCCAGAATAGCCAATAAACAGCAAAAATTTTCAGCTGTGTATATAGCTATACACTAAATTTTGAAATTATAACCTTTGTTTTTAATATTCATAACTACTTAAAATAATAATTTATTGTTTCCAAATGTGTGGATTTTGGCATAATTAAAGGTGTGCTAAAACAAATACAAAAAACAACCTTATGTCTTCTGAGCCCCAATCTATTGCTATCTAGACCATGAAAACAAGAAACATAACAGAAGACCATTCACTCAGAATTGAGAGCTCAGAGTGCTTCTGCAGTCACTTTAGAAAGGCAGGCATACAAATGTGCAATATTCTAGTTACTGGAATCAAGTAATCCAAGTTACAACTGTTGTGCCTTCAAATCCATTACAAAGTTCTTTCATAAGGCAATATTTTATTTTAAAACTATATAAACAGTAATGGTAGCTGTTGAGTATTTGCCAGAGGCCAGACACTGTACACAAAGCACTGTACACATCACATCTTCGTCCTCATAGTAACTCCACAGCAGGTACTACACTGACCTTCGTACACACATGGAAACTCAGAAGCAGAGAAGGCACTTTACAAGCCAGTAAGGAACTGGAAGCATGACTTTCTAGAATCCATTTGCATTGTAACAGGCCCACCCTACATTCAGCACTTCAGCTGGACCCCAGTTACACTATCCTTGACAGGTCATGTAAACTTGCAGCAAACTAGAAAAGCTGTGCAAACAGAGCCAAACCACCCAAATATTCAGGTCACAGAACGTCACAAAACATACCTGGTACCACAAAAGCTGGAGAACTGTTTGCTAATATATATTACCATTAATTGATCTGGATTCTATTTCAAATAGTCTCCTCATCATATACAATCTACTCACAAATGTTTCCAGTAGTGCACTTGCTATTATCCGAAGCACATCTTGCACCTGAGTGGAAGCCAGGGGAACGCTCTCTACCTTGCCTTCTTTGGGTCTGGCAAGCAGCAAAGCTGGAAGAGTTGCAGTATATTTATTTGACCTATGGAGAAATGTACTATTAAAATTCACAACCAAAATACAGTGAATCACCCAAAACATGAAAAAGCACATGCACACCACAGCAGGAGGCAGCAAATGAAAAGCCCTGCTTCTAGCTAGGTGAGGTGGTACGAGCCTGCAATCCCAGCACTAGGAAAGCTGAGGCAGGGGATCATGAGTTTGGAGGCCGGCTTGGCCTACATATTGGGAGTCTGTCCAAAAATTAAGTAAATGAATAACAAAAAAGTTAATGAAAAAAAATTCTTCGGTTTTTTGTTTGTTTGTTTTTCAGAAAGGGTCTTCCTATAGCCCCAGCTGGCCTGGAACTCACTCTATAGGCCAGGCTGGCCTCAAACTCACAGATCTCTGCCTGCCTCTGCCTCCCAAGTACTGGCATTAAAGGCATTTCCTAGCATGCCCACTATGAAAAAAAATTTTTAAAGTTCCACTGCTAAGGAGAAAATGATCTCCATTTCCTGACAAATGTATGTGTGAGGTTACCTGAGGAAGTTCAGGGGTCTTGACAATCTCAATTAAAGTAAAACAGCAGACAATAATTTAGATAGGTTTCTTCTACAAAACTCATCCTCAAGAAAATATCTAAAAAGGACCTGGCTCTCTACCTTTCTAGGCTGCTCATCACATGGCTGAGTGAAGACTTGAGAACCTGTGAGAACCAACCATCTTCCAGGCATCACACACAGGTCCTACCTACATTTTCATTAAACTTGAGAACATTCCCCAGAGTAGCCCTCATTGTGCCAGTTTATAGAACGGGATTCAGGGGAAAATAAACGGCACGCATTGAAGTCAAATGAGGTGCTCCAGACAGAGTATGTGTGCAAGAGCCCACTTTTGCTAACTTAACCTGGAAAAAATATTCTAAATTAAATAGAGAAAAAAATGCTTTGTGAGCAATTATCAGTAAGGTGTAAGTATGTATAAGGTCTTAAATCGATCCTAGTAGACAGCCTGAGAGGGTGGGTTCGGACCTCCATCAGGGTAGCGGTTAGGAGCTTAGCAGACCACCAGAGAGTGCGGGGTTTTGGCCTCCAACTACCAGAGGGCCTGAGAACCCAGGGGACAGCCTGACAGCCCCCAGATCCTGCCTCCACATGGTGATGAGCTTCCCCTAATTGCACCATACCATCTCCCTACCTGGGATTTTGTGAGGCCCCTCCCAAGGCCCCAAGGCAGATCTGCCTTTGGTAGGCTAAGGCTGGGATCTCAGCAGACCACCAGAGAGTGTAGAGTTCTAGCTCCCCTCTAGCCTCCCTCTGACATAGGGTTGACAACACACAGGAATGTATGAGAGATCCTGGATCCTGCCTCCGCATGGTGAAGGAAGCCTGAGTATACCTGACTGGAACCTGAATTGGGCTTCTGTGGGTGCCCTGAATAGCTGATGTGAAGCCATCAGTTCCCTCCAAATTAAACCTGAGAGAACCTGAACCCTGTACCAATCAGCTTGACATAACTAATAAATGATCTAGGCACCCCAATAGTCTGATATAATTCTCATATCAGAATCATAAACAAAAGAAATTCACATGCCAAAACCACAATGAAAGAATAATAAAATGGAAAGCCAAAACACTATGTCCCCACCAAACCCCACCAATCACGTAGAAGAGTTCTATAAGGAGAATGCCCTAGAGATAACCTAGGACACTGAATTTAAGAGAACAATCATAAACATGATCAAGGAATTCAACAAATTTAAAGAACACACAAACAAATCAAAGAGCTAAAAGAAGATAGGGATAAACTTCTGAATGAATCCACAAAAGAGCCAGAAACACTGAAGAAAACTCAGGCAGAAATGAAGAAGGAAGTGTAAAACTCAATAAGCCAACTTGAAACAACAGGAGAAAGCCTCACTTCTAGAATGAATGTACTGGAAAACAGAATATCAACAATGGAGGATAAAGTTAAAGAACTGGACCACTCAAGCAAAGAGTACGGAAAATTTTTTAAAACACAGGATGGAATATGCAAGAGATGTGGGACACCATGAAAAGACCACAAACATATGGATCACAAGAATAGAGGAAGGAGAAGAATTTCAGGTTAATGGTATTGACCAGATCTTAAACAGGTGATCCTTTGCATCCAGACCAACCCAGTTCCTCCCAGTAGTCCTCGGGAGCCCCTGGTGCCTCTTCCTGCACCCACCTCCCTTTGCACCCCTGGGTGGCACAGCCACCAGCTTCCTAAGACCAGCATCTTTCCTGGGCCCTGCTCCCAGCCCAGTCCAGCCCCCAAATTCCTGAGGGCAGCATCTTTCCTGGAGGGATCCAGACGTAAGGAGAAAGCCTGAGAACATCTGATCCTGGAGCCTGGAGCATAGTATTCCCAGTTTTAAATGACCACAGATGTCAACCCAGATTACTTTACCCAGCCAAAATGTCTATTATAGTTGAGGGGGAAAGAAAAGTCTTCCATGACACAAACAGCCTGAAATACATGTCCACAAAACCAGCCCTTCAAAGACTACTTGAAGCAATACAGAGAGCAGAGAGAGAAAGAACTATACCCTAGGGACAACAAAAGAAAATAAAGATATAATCTAGGAAATATACAATTACACAGAGAACACAAACAGCAATCAAAATGACAGCAACCAATACACACCTTTCAATAATAACCTTAAATATCAATGGACTAAACTCCCCAGTCAAAAGATACAGGCTAAGTGAATGGATTAAGAAACAAAATCCATCGTTTTGCTGTCTGCAAGAAACCCATCTCACCTTCAAGGACAGGCACTACCTTAAGGTAAAAGGATGGAAAAGAAATATTCCAGGCACTAAGAAACAAGAAGGGGTTGCAATTCTAATATCTGACAAAATAGACTTCAAAGTAAAACTAATCAGAAGTGATAAGGAAGGTCACTTCATTCTGATCAAATGAACAGTTAACCAAGAAGATATTATAGTCCTTAACATATATGCACCAAATTCTGGTGCACCCAAATTCATAAAAACAACACTACAGGACTTCAAGACACAGATTAACCCCAACACAGTAATAGGGGACTTCAATACTCCACTGTCTCTATTAGACAGGTCAACTGGACAAAGAATTAACAGAGAGGTGTCTGAATTAAATGATACCATACATCAAGTGGACCTAACAGACATCTTTCAATTATTCCACCCAAAGACCAAAGAACAGACTTTCTACTCAGAACCTCATGGAACTTTTTCAAAGATTGACCACATACTGGGCCACAAAACAAACCTCAACAAATACGCAATATTGAAATAATTCCATGCATTCTATCAGACCACAAAGCAATAACACTCAAAATCAACATTGGACGAAGCCCTAGTCACTACACGAACTCGTGGCGATTGAACAACACACACACCTAAACAATGAGTAGGTCAAAGAAGAAATTAAGAAAGAAATAAAAGCATTCCTGGAATTCACCAAAAAGGACAATACAACACAACACAACCTCTGGGACACATTAAAAGCAGTCTTAAGAGGGAAGTTTATAGCTCTAAGTGCCTACATTACAAAGTTAGAAGGAGCCCAAAGAAATGACCTAACACTCAACTCAAGAATTAATGAAATCAAAATAAAGAAAATAATGCAAAGAATCAATGAATCCAAGGGCTGGTTCTTTGAAAAGATGAACAAGATTGACAGACTGCTAGCCCAGTTAACCAAAAGAAAGAAAGAGCACCTCCAAATCCACAAAATCAGAGATGAAGGGGGAAACATCACAGCAGACACCAGAAAGATACAGAACATTATAAGGGAATACTTTAAAAAACCTATATGCTACTAAATTTGAAAACCTAAAAGAAATGGATGGATATCTAAAGGCATGGGTACCACCAAAACTAAAGAAGAGATTAACAGCTTAAACAGACCAATAATACAGAAAGAAATTGAAACAATAATACAAAATATTCCATTTAAAAAAAGCCCAGGACCAGATGGATTTACAGCAGAATTCTATCAGGCTTTTAAAGAAGATCTACATCCAATACTACATAATTTATTCTAAAAGGTAGAAAAGGAGGGATAGCTTCCAAATTCCTTCTGTGAAGCCACCATCACTGTAATACCAAAGCCAGGTAAAGACACAACCAAAAGAGAAAACTATAGACCCATATCCTTAATGAACATACAAGCAAAAATTCTCAACAAAATACATGCAAACCGCATACAGACACACATCAAAAAGATCATTCACCAAGATCAAGTAGGCTTTATCCCAGAAATGCAGGGATGGTTCAATATACGCAAGTCAATAAACATCATTAATCATATAAATGGACTCAAAGACAAAAACCACATCATCATCTCAATAGATGCAGAAAAGACTTCTGACAAAATTCAGCATGGATTTATGTTCAAAGTCCTAGAGGGAATTGAACTGGAAGGAACACACCTCAACATAATTAAAGCTATAGACAATAAACCCACAGCCAATATTCTAAATGGAGAAAAAAATGGAAGCATTCCCTTTAAAATTAGCAACCAGACAAGGATGTCCACTATCTCACTCCTTTTCAACATAGTGCTTGAAACTCTTGCTAGAGCAGTAAGACAGGAGAAGAAAATTAAAGGAGTACCAATTGGAAAAGAAGAGGTCAAACTATCACTTTTGGAGATGATATGACACTATATCTAAGAGATCCCAAAAGTTTCATTCCCAGAACTGATAAACACTTTCAGTATAGTGGCAGATTATAAAATCAATCTACAAAAATCAGTAGCCTTTCCATATACCAATAACAAGCATTTGGAGAAAGAATACAGGGAAATGCTCCCATTCATAATTGCTGCAAAAAAATAAAATAACTTGGAATAAATCTGACAAAATACACCAAAGATCTATACAATGAAATTTTTAAATCATTAAAGAGATTGAGGAAGACACCAGGAGATGGAAGGATCTCCCATGTTCATGGATTAGAAGAATTAATACTGTGAAAATGATTATCCTGCCAAAAGCCATTTATAGATTCAATGAAATGCCCAT